GGGGGGAATAAAGTACCCTGTAGGTTATAAAAAACACAATAATGTAGGAGTCAAAGGACAAGATATTGCTTTTCCTTTTCCCCCCCTACTGGATTTACATTCTGCTTACTGAAAGAGATAATTCTGAAGGAAACTTGTCATCAGGATAGCCTGCTCAAGCCCTCCACACCTCAAACTTAAGAGATCTGCACAAGTCTTCCCACTCCAAGAGAAAAAAAAAACAAACCAAACAACGAAAAAAAACAAAACAACAAACAAAAACCCAAAGGAGAGCTCAAAAAAAGGAACCAAATAGCCCCAAACATGATTGGACAATCCTTGGAAAAAACATTACATTTTGTTGGAGAGAGGTCAAGAAAAAAATTAAGAGGATGATGAAGGGGTGGAGTTAAAAAAAAAAAAAAAAAAGAAAAAAATCAAGAGGCCTCTCTTTCCTTATTTGGCGACAAGCAAGTGCAAGAAAGTGTTCGTTGGGGGTTTGTTCAGTTGTCGGTCTTTTGCACATCTGTGTTCTGGCCAAGACAAGAGGCTTTGAGGTTTTTCTGCAGCACGTGAGCATCTGCGGGCTCTATTCTCTTGTAGTAGTTCTTCTTCGTCTCAATGATCTCAAAGCCAAACTTTCTGTAGAAGTCAATTGCAGACTCATTGCTGATCTGGACATGCCTGGGACAGAAAGGAGGACACAGAGACAGGTATCAAAAACTTTCTGTGCTACGGATTTCTGCTTCCACGCTCAGAGAAGTCCAAGATAAGAAAATAAGCCATCCAGGTAGAGACGGGAATGATGGTGTAAGCTCAGGACTGGAAATTTTGGTCCTCCCACATCAATCCTGAGCTAACACATGGCTTCTGGATGGCCTGTGGAAATCATTCTGAGAAGTGGCAAGTGTTAAATCTCAGTAAAGCTCTTTTAAGGAACACTAATAGCAGAGACACTCTGAATCATTACTAGCTCAGTCATTTCAATTTTTCTTAATCTGTAAGAGACAGGTATTTTGTGGAAATACATATCAAAGTTTCATTGTAGAGTCAATTTTAACTTCCAGCAGTGACAATTCTCAGATGACCACAACAGTTGTCTGAGTGATGATCCCTACATGCTGCAACACAAAACTGACAATGGTGTTTGATATTATTTTAACTCCTTGCTCACTGCTAACTACCCCTCTCTTCTCACAAAAAGCTATGGCAGCACAAAGAAGCCCTAAGGACTTAAAAGTCCTTTTTACTTTTATCTATTTTCACCAGAGTTTTACAGATCTTGGTAGCATATTCCAAGAGTTTCAAGGCCTCCAAAACAAACAGTAATCAGTTCTTCATCCTAAGTGACTGGGACATTTATTTACACAAGAACTATTACAAAAACAAACAAACAACAAAAATAAAATGTCTGGCTCAGCAAACCACTCCCAAAATTCAGGGACACTGCACAAGCTCATGTATCACACTGTCATGACAACAGGCTGCATAACCGTAAAAACCAAAGCAACTCTGAAAGCAACAGCAGAACAAAAAATCTTTGTGTTAAGCCAAATAAACACCAAATATCTAAAAGGAAACTTGATCATAATGACAAATTTAGCCACTGATATAAAATTGGGTGCTGAGCTGCATAGTATGTTCAGACAGAAGATGCAGAAGTAGCAGACACAATCATAAAATCAGTGGGCCACTAGAACAACTTTTTTATTCTCAACTTCAAAGGCTATTTATTGTCATCCCAGAATCCTACTCTGGGAAGTGAAAGGAATGACTATAAAGGATTTGGGTTTTCTGCATTAAAATCAGCACACAGTTCCTTCACTGTGCACACGGTAACATGCAACAGCAAAAAGGAAAGCCTGTGTCAACTAGCAGGCATCTGAGAGTTTGTTACCACTTAGGCAGGAGAGCAGGAATACCAGCCAAAAGCAGCTTTACTCAAACTTCTCTTTAAAACACCTATTCTTCTTACAGACATGGCACAAACTACAACAGTAGAGGACTTGAAAGACTTTGCACCTCCTTGGCAGAGTTGGACTAAGCTTGAGGAGAAAGTTACTCCATTTATAGTGTTATCAGTGTATAGAAACACTTCTCACTTAAGTGTCTTCAACAGTATCAGTAAGAGTTTGGGGTGCAGTTCTGTGGCAGCGTAAGTCCATCCCAAATGTACCTACTGTGGGACCCTCCCTACCAGTGAACTGTGCTTGTGCTGGTATAAGCAGGCAGTGATGGACAGAAGAAGCTGGCTCAGAGAAGTGGTCTACTCAAAAACTGCACCAGCTGACTTGGTGTTCCCACAGACACCGACGCACAGGAAGAAGCAGAAGTGTGCAGCTGGCAGCAAAGAGAAAGCAAAGCTTTAGCATCTACAGATTTCAGGTTCTATACCCATGGGGATCTATTAAGATGATGGTATTCTTAAAAAACAGCCCTGTCCTCTACCCCAGTGCTTGTTCTCACGTGTGCATCATGCCAAGTGCTTTTGCAGACATGCAGTTGATTTAAAACAAACCAACGACCAACTCCCTTCCCTTCTCTTCCCACATACCCCAACCACACTAAAACAAAAAACACCACCCAGAAAATAAAACTGAAAACAGCTTCCCCAGCTGGGTAAGGACATTGACCCAGTTTACAGTGTCGCTGCACAAACAGCTGACCTGGCAGAGTGCAAGAAGGGGCCCTGCTCATGAATGTGAACCTAGAGTGCTTGCAAGCACCTCTGATCTGATGTTCTAACCTTCACCATACTGTCATAGAAGACAGACAGAAAATGCACCAAAACTGTATGCAAGACTTGCAGCATTTTCCATTTGGAGGGCAACACTGTATGGCAAAAAAAAATTCTTTCCCCTTTTTATTAATCATACAGTGTAATTCTGCTATAGAACATTATTTTATAACTAGACTATTTTTAAGTTCAGCAAATTTGCAGAAGCTGTTCTAAAGCAAGCAAGCTTTTGGTTTTTTCAGCATCATGCAACAAGGGCAGAATATGCCCCCTAAGCTTTCTTACAGTACTTAAAAGATGTTCCATGACCCCACTAAAATACATAATAAAAATCCTCATGGATCTCCCTCCCTTTTTTCCCATATATGCCTCTATCATCTCTCAAAAAATACATTAGTGTAACTCATCTACTTACAGATAGATGTTGTCAAAAGTGCCATCTTTTTCACAGATGTTTAAGACATGATTCAACATTTTAGTTCCTGCCAAAAGGTAAAAAGATACTTAAGAAATCCAGAAGTGCATCATCAAGCCTGTACTTAGCTAATGGCTATCTTGAGGAGAGGCAGGTTAACTGTAGGTAGGCTAAAATAACAGAGCTCGTGAAAACTAGAAAAGGCAAATAAAACATGGTGTGGAAGTATTTTATGATCTTTCTGACTGCTCACAAAATGTAATTAATTGTTTCTTCAGAGAAAAAAGACCCAACAGCCCAGAAGCATAGGTATAAAGCAGCTTATTTAAATACTAGCTTTAAGGTTTCAAAGTCACCTCTAACTATGATGAAAACAATGTAGCAATGAGAGCATGGTATTTTTTTTCTACAAAGATCTAGTAAAATAATTTAAAATGAAGTTATGTTTTCACTCCAGTTTGTCAAAGCAAACAGGTTACTCTAAGGTATTGATTAAGGTAGTCCGTGGATTTGCAACATGGAGAAAAGAACCAAATGCAGTGTAGAAAGAAAGCAGGTACTACCCCTGAGCAGTAATAATCCCTGTTGATAAAAACAAAATAAATAGAAAAAAGCCCCTACATTTAGGAGAATGAAGAGATAACCCAATGAAGCAATGATGTAGTCTACTTATACTTGACTTGCATACTGGCTGCATGCCTCTAACAAATTATTTCATATCTCTGTGCATCAATTTTCACATCTATATAAACAGACTGTTTACATCACAGTATGATAATGTAATTAAGATTATTTTAAGCTGAAATCCTGAATTAGAATATTCTACAAAGAGTATTTCTGAAAGGGAGGAAAGAAAGACTACATCATAAATCATACTCTTCTTTGGAAGGGACTTTGAGGAAAATTAGTGGTCTAAAAGTGCACTATCTTTGTTAAAAATCTGAAAGAGCATTTAGAAGTCTGCACAGCAACCTGGTATCTTCAGTTACTCAAACAAAAAAAGAAGTTCCTCCTTACCTATTCCTAGCCTTCGGTAGGGTGCCAGGCATCCGAGTGTCATGATGTACAGTCTCTTCTGGTTCAGGGAGTGATCTACTCTACAGCACACTGCTCCCACTGCAATATCATTGAAATAGGCTGCCAGGGAGGGAAACAAAGTGTTATCAGTCATGAGTCTCAAACTACTTACAGCTCCTTCATTTATGCCCTTTATCTTCCTTCCCTCTTGCTAATTCTCCCACCCAGATAAAATCAGCTTGTGGCTAACACTGCAGTGAAGTTATCAATGGTGCTCTGACACAGGGGCTGGCTTATTACAGTTCAAATGTGCTGGCAGCACACATCTCTCAGGTTTTCTGCTGTAACAGAAAACATGCTTACTCCCAGTAAAATGGAATCTATTCAGAACACAAACCCTCCGAGGTTGCGAGTGTGGCTTTTTGAGGTCCTCAAATAGTTATTTTTCATTATGTGAAACAATTAAATAGGAGGATCTGCTATTCAAAACCATGATGAGCATTTCTGTCACCACAGCCCACAATTACTGGCAAGAACATTTGTACCTAATTTGGCTAGCTCGCCAACCTCCAGTACATCCTTGTAGAACTTGTCATTGTAGCTGACAGGAAAAATGACCTGGTTTAGTCTCTTCAGCTGCTTAATGTTGTGTGGCGTCACATCTCCCAGCTCGATCCGGCTACTGGAACAAATCAAAACATGCTTAACATCTGACACACTGCAAAACTTCTAAGGACACCAAATTTTAATTATTTCATTTATGCTAAAAGAACTGTCCCACCTAATAATCAGTTCAATACACATTTGAAGGGCAGCATTCAACCCATACAAGTCTTCTGTTAATGGCTGATTTAACTCCTAAACCAAATTTCAGCTGGTATTATAGTCAGAAGTTTCTGGGGTCACACTTCACACTGAAGCACCATAATATACATACAGTTTTATTGGGTGAGAGACAGAACATTAACCTCTGTAGTAGCATTAGCTTTCATTTTATCCCAATAATTTCCTCACTGGTCAGCAAGAACACAGGGGAAAAAAGAATTTAAAAAAAAAAAAGAAAACAATGGGAGGGACAGGCATCTAACATAGAGATCAAGAAAATTAAGTCCTTACCAATTCTTAAAAGATAGCCCTAATTTTACCACCTATCAATATAAAGCTTATGTTTAGACAGAGACTAAGTCATTACTAGACATCTGTCTCTAAAAAGCAACAATACTGTGTGCAGCAAACTCATATTAAGTCTGTTAATATGCAAACATGCCACTCTCAAGGTGATATCCCCATCTATTATGTTAATTACTGAACTAATTCTTCCTGTTGGGAGCAGAATGACAACTTTAAAATTCCAGTGCTGCACTGAATTATACTGAAAAGAAACAGATGAAGCTTCTTCCTTTTCAGTGATAAACTTCCCAACAGAAATACTATGTATACTGAAGCAATTTTAAAAAAACAAACAACCAACACCAACAAAACCACCAGATTTTGCATTCATATTCTCCAAGCCAATTTCTTCAGTGCAGGTAGTCAGTTTTAATGAAGATGACAAGAAAAAAAAACAAACAAGCAAACAAAAAGCCACCATTTAAAAAGTCTTTCCAAATAGTCACTGTAATACAAAATCAGGTGCAAAGCCAATACACATCAAGTTAGAAACACACTTTCAGGTTTATCTCAGACTTGTTTTATTGAATACATACAGGCAACAAGATTTTCTGCCCAAACATTGCTAAAGATACTCTCTGCCTTCAAAAGGAAGGCAAATTCTGTTTTCAAAAAGGCAGCTTTCTAAGATCCTTATATGCCAGGCTCCAAAGTTCTTTCCAGTAATATGCAGTAGTTGCTTTCCATCCCCAGTGCCCCTTGTGCCAAGGCAGCTTGTTTTTTCAAACAGGTTCATGCCGAGGACCCAGCCCAGATTAACTTACATAATACAGTGAAACAAAGAGGAAACAATAACCACCAACTTTTTTCTTCAAGAACTGTACCAAACAATGCAGAGTATAATCTCTCTCTGCTTTATCGCCTGACCTCAATTATACATCAAAACCTCTTAAACAATTAGGACTCCAGGTATCATATCAATTTTAGTTGTTCCTACCAACAATGGTTTCTAGGCATTGTTCTGCAGCCTGCAAAACTACCAGAAAAAGCTATAGGAATGGAGCCTTTAGCATTTACTCTAAGTAGAATTTGCCCTCACACCCACTTTATCCTTTTCTTTCACAGCAAAGAACACAGTCTTCAGTTCTGCAAAGGTATCAAGGATCACCATTGCCCACTCTCTGGTACATAGATCAGACAATCTTTTTAGTGTGCCCTACAAAAGCTAAACAATGTATAATTAGGGCTTACATTCTGGGAAACCCTCTAGAATTAGCTAAGGGACTACTGATAATTTTTTTATTCTTCATCAGATGAGTACGTTCCAGTTGCTACTTAGAATGAATAGATGGCATTTACATATTGAACTTTGTTGACACCCCAGTCTAACCTGTCATCACACATTTGCCAAAGAGGTTAAAAAAAACCCCTGGTGTCAAGCATCTCATGCCAGTATGGGTGCCTGCAAAATGTTTCAGGCAGCTCCTCACCTATCAACACTGAACATGTTGATCTTTGTCCTGCCTCTCTGCAAGGGCAATTGCTAAGCCATGAAACCTTGTAATCTGCCCGTGAGCTCTGCCCAATTGTACTGCAACCTCTTCAGAGGTATCTCACTAGTATTGGGCAGTAAGCTCTCCAACAGAGATTGCTAGGATGACAGAAGCAGCAACAGTCTCCATATTCTTGCATGTCATCCATGTCAAGATACTCAGGCATACTACGAGCAACAGCAGTGGGATATAATTCTAAAGCTTCTAGCTGTAAACCATATATTGTGCTGAAATAGTCTGAAATATCTCTTTTCTGTGAGTCCTACTGCCACCAGCTCTTTGTTTCACAGCCTTTTACATCTTCTAGATTATTTTTGCTCTCAGTACTGATTCCTTTTTTCATGTACCACCAATTGTGTAAGCCCCTTCAAAAATCATATTCCAATATAAGGTGCTGAGCTAGTAAGGATGATCTCCTCACATCACAGAAGTACACTCATGATAAACCAGCATGCTATCAAAATTATTAGATGGTGGGGTAAACTCTAATACTTGCTTTATGCCCAGCTTCGCAGGTATGTTTAGCCTTCAGCCTACCTAGCACGGCAGGGCTTCTTCAAACACACAGAAGGCAAGTTGTGCCCTTGTCTAATCCAAACCAGCAGCACTGCTACCTGTTCCTCACAAAGGGTAGGAATAAAACTGTGATACGTGGATTCCTGGGTGTATTTTCATCTAGGAGAGAGTTTTGCTGGAGTAGAGCATCTCAGTAATTTCATATTAGGAATGAAGAAAAGACAGAGCAGCCTCTTTTGTGGCAGTCTGCATCAGGGTGGAAGCTGCAGGGAGCAGGTCTCAACTGAACAGTTAGAACAGATTAGCTGCAGAGCAGGTCAAGTAAGGAAAGGGAAAAACCTCGCACTCAGTCCCTTGAAAGCCTAGACCTCTTGTCCAAAACATTTAATAGCATATTAGCCTTGGTGACAGTTCTTTTTGAATCAGTAGATCAGTAACACTGGCATGAAATCTTACAATGACTTCACAGCAAAGTTGTTATAGAGCAAGTCACTCTTTATACTTGAGCAAAAATCTCTGACGTAGACTGTTACCAGGCAGTGTGTTTTTTAATTTTATTTTAAAATTAGTTATTGATGATACAAGAAATAAGGCCTTAAAAGACAATAATTACGGAGTATTTCTGATGACAGTGTAACATGACAAAGATATATTGCCAGGGGCAGCCAGAACAAGATGGCTGAAAAGGAGACCATGGCCAGAAGACGGATCTTTACCAAGTAGGTTTCAGACAGGGAAAAAATAAGTAAGTGCAGAAGCAGCATCTAAAATGGCTCATAACTGCTGAGCCAAGACATCACCTCCAAGGCTGGCATCCGGCCAGAGAAACAAGTTCTAATTGTAAGTGGCTAAAAGGTGCTGTTCACAGATCTCCTATTGCTATTGCTCGCTATTGCTCACCACTTGCCACGTTCATTGCTGCCTCCTGCTATCTCCTTCTGCCTGCCTCCCATGCACTGTCACTAGCTGTTTCCTTGCTGCTCAAGAGCTGCACCAGCACCAGTTCTTTATCCTGGAGGATACTGTGAAAAAGTCTGAGAAACACTGCAGGAAGCACAAATCAATATGCTAAGTATGTCTGTTTAAAACAGTATGTACTCAAACCATAAATTACCTTAATTTATAGCACTACCCGATTAAATCAGTGCCACATCTATTGCACACAAAAACATTCAATAACTAAATGAGGACATAGAAAGGAAGACCCACATCAGGAGAGTTCATCACTTTGCCTCGGGACACCGCTACAAAAGTGCCACTAAGGCCTCAAATGAAAACACAGGAAAGCTGGCAGCAGTCTTGCTGTCTCTGAGCCACTCATTCCCATCCTCTTGCTGGCACAAACATTTGTGCAGCAACGTGGTGAACCAACCCCAAATAAAACTAACCTAGAAAAAAACCAAAAAGTTTAGTTTTAGCCCACACCAGTCCCCTGACTGGGTTCAATCACAAAAAATTGCCAGAGGCAGAGCTGGTTGGTTCTTGAGCAGGAAT